CCCTCGACCCGACCGGCGCCCGCACCCGCCTCTTCGACCCAGCCCGCCCCGACGCCGCAAAAGTAGGCGACGTCCTCATGGTGACCACAAAATCGGGCGAGCCCTTCTCCGGAGTATGCATGTCCATCCGCCGCCGCGGCGTTGACACGGGCATCCTCCTCCGCGGCCAGCTCATGAAGGTCGGCGTCGAGATGTGGTACAAAATCTACTCCCCGACCGTCATCGGCATCGACATCGTCTGGCGTCGTCCCAAGCGCGCGCGCCGCGCCCGCCTGACGTACCTGCGCAAGCCCAAGCACGACATGGGCAACGTCGATCACCTCGTCTTTGCTTGGAAGAAGGAGAGGTACGGCACGCGCAGCAAGGGCAGGGCCGGTTCGAGGTTTTAAAAGAGATTGGGGAAGGATTCAAGAAATAGGCGGGGATGGGACGGTCTATCTCTTCTTAGGGGCTTTGTCTACAAGATGAAGACGAGATACCGATTGGAGAGGACCCGTTTGCGTGAAGGAGGAAGGCTTGTACGTTGGTGGAATGTACGATTAGGGGAAAAAACGGGCGAGCTGTACAACATTGGCCTGTGTAGAGTCGTGTACATGAGCAAAATCACATAAAATACTAGAGGCAGTGATGGCTAGTAGAGAATGATATCGAGTGACATGGTGACTGACGTGAACTGACAAAAGGGCGGACGACCAGGTCACGACGACAAATACATTCAACAACAATGTCTCTTGGGTCGGTCATGTCGAGGCCTGAGTTAGAGCAGATACTCAGCATCATCACAGAGTCACATCAAGGACTGAACGCGCATAGGTGTTCATCAATCGTCATAAGTGTACAGTATACTAAGAATGTACAGTGAGAACAAACGCCAAAATCAAAGGTCTGTCCGCGGCCTGAGCCATCTAGTCCGCCTTGGTTTTATAGAAAAGACTGGATTCCGCGCCAATAAAAAAAAATGTGCCCACCCTGATTACTCCATAGTACAAACTCCTTGCAATGATGCTCCTTTTTCCTTTTCTCACAAAACAGGTCAAATCGCGGGTCTTGCGGGTGTAGTGACTACTCTCCGCGGAGGCGCTGTGATTACGTCGCTGTCGGTATCCGTAGTCTCGTCATCGACGGGCTCCGTATTGCGTCTCCTCATATCCTCAGCCATCGGCGGCCGTTCGTCGACACCAAATGATCTGCTGCGTCTGGAGAGATTGGTGAGGCTGTCTTCGTGTGGAATCACGGGGCCAGGGTGAAGGAATTGAGTAAAGATGCCTTGACCCCTGTTCGTGCTCATTCTTCTCGACCTCAAGTTTGACCTCGTGGCGCTGAGTGCAGTTCCCGTCGATGCGGCAGTAGCAGACCGGACCAGAACTGGCTGCGCCTCGGCGGCTTCCTTCTCGAACCGAGATTCGCTTGGCAAAAGAACAGCGCGATCCAAGCCGTAGGGGAGACCACGATGGCGACCACGGATTTGCATTGCAATCATGATGAGCTTGCCTCCAGTGGTGAATTGAGAGCAGAGGGAAGCGTTGACGTTGGGATAACCCAGACTCAACCCGACCGTACCGTATGCACTCACGATCTCAAACAAGACCGAGTAGACGTCAAAGTCCTTGTTTTGAATCCTCTTGCCTTCTGTGATGGCCAGAATGAAAAGCCCCAAGAAAACGTACCACAAATCGAAAGAAAGTTGGCGACGCAAATGGGTACCGACGTATGACCAGGCGCTATTCTCGTTGGTACCCTCCATATCCTCGTCAGGGCTGTGGTAAACACCCAAAGATCTCTCTTCGTACACGTTGGTGCGACGAATGGAGATGGCGATTGGAAACACGGAGATGTACATCATAATCATATATGACACTTGCACAGCAGGATGCAACAGCGAAATGTTGACAACCGAGAAACCTGCAGTTCTGGTCGACGCAGCCTGGAAGATACCATCCACAATGCGAACGTGCACCGGCAAATGGCTCACAGCGTTATCGTTCAGCTACAAGTAGTGTCAGCGTAGTTCAGTTATGGGTAGCGAGAATGTCTTACATCCAGCAGGACAAAGAACAGCAGGTCAAGAACGTTGAGGCCGATGAGAATGATGAACAGCCACCAGGTAGCGCCCGCTGGGAAAAGCAGAGTGAAGCAGCGACGCGGGTGGTCCAACAAGAAGCGTAGTTCCTCCCATAGTCCTGTGCGTTTTGGCACAATCTTGGAGAGAATCCAAATGACGACTCGGAGCATGATGGGGAAGCCGGTGTTGCCAATGATGATCAGGAAAGACATGATCAATAGGATGAAGGACGCGTCGTTGAACGAGTTCATGCTGTCAGGCGTGAGTGTAAGTCCCAAATCATTGAAGGCCGAGTTCGCCGTGAAAACACCCCACCACGCCTTGCTAACACCCGAGTTCTCCACGATAGCGGCGTACTTGGCATTGGAGCTCGTGTAGATCCAAGGAAGGAAGCAGGTGATGGCGAAGAGCGAGAAACCCCAGAAGTAGCAGAGCAAGATGACGGCGAGTGTCCTCAGGGAGCGGTATTCGATACCACCCAATTCCTCGCGCTGCTCAATGGTCAAGCCCGGGAAGGCTGAGTTGCGTCCCATGGTAGGCGTGAAACTCAGATACGGCATGTCCTCGACCTTTTCGCGGGTCAATGCAGTCCTGATGGTGTCGAATGTCTTGCTCCTGACTCTCGCAAGAGGGTTGTCAGAGCTGCTGCCTTCGCCGTTGTCACTGCTGGTACCCTTGAAGAACTTCTTGGGCTTGCGGAGCGAGAATGGAAAGATTGTTCTACCAATCACCTCGGCTTCATCCGCAATCTCGTCCTTGACCGTCCTATCGGTATCCCTGGGTCGCTCAGGCTCCTCGATTTTGATCGTCTGTGGGCGGTGGACATTGTTGCCGATGCCATCCGCCAAGTTGTTCGCTCCGCCGTTAACGTGGATATGCGGAATACTGCCGTCTCTCTCGTCTTCGGGTTCAGGTGCTGCATCGTCTTCGACTCGCTTTGGTTTCATGCCCTTCTCTGCGTCTCTGGGGTTCGGGATTCGCAGGGTCTCATCAGGCCCGGCTCGTTGGCGCTCAAGAATGGCAAAATGGGCGGGCGAGTGCGGTGATGGAAGCTTGACTTCCGGTTCCGTGCCGTCGCTTCGGAAGACATGCTGGGCAAACGTGATTCGACCTTGGGTGATGTCTGTGCCGGTTTCTTCCTGGGTTTCGGGTGCTCTGGCGGGCGAGTGTTCTCCCGAGTTATGTGCTGGGGTGTTGGGGACGGGCACAAAGCCATTGCTCCCCGGCGAGATGCGGCCATCCTCATCCTCCTTCATATCGAGTAGAATTCCATCATTGGTCATTCTCGAGCGGTGGCCATTGGTGTGCATAACCTTAATATTGCGCACGCTCAGACGGCCCCTTTCAGCCTGGTTCAGATCATCTCTCGCGCGGGACTTTGACTTTGAAATGGTGTTTCTGCGTTGTTGGCGAGCCTCGCGGACAACTCCTTGAAATCGCTTCTCGAACCAGTACAGTCGGAGAAACACAACAGAAGAGTGAATGGTGATGGGGTTCGAGGTCATGGTAAAGAAGTAGAGGCATGCTTGCTGAAAGGTGTTGAGTAGGTTGACGTCGACTGTGTTGAGACCGGCTTGGGTGTTGGCGCCACTTGCAAAGTAAAGTGCATCAATGTAAGCCAACTGACCGCCGGCCGAGGCAAAGATGAGGATGGAGCCCAGTATGGTGAGACTGACAATCCAAAAGTCTGAAGGGGGAGCGCGGTGCGCAGATTAGTGCTGTGCGCAGCGCAAGGCCTTGTGGGCACTGGGGATAGATGGTAGTTGGGATGGTGGTGAACTTACAGTGAGCCGATATGAAGTTGAAATGAGGCTTCTTGGATATAAAAGAAGGCTTGGCTGCCCGGAGCTGGTCGAGCAGCCAGCCGCGCGCGGTTTCGAGCATTTCTCTCGGATCGCGAAAATGGGCTTTGTTGGTGTTGTTGATGTAATGGAGGAAATTCCCCTCCGGTTTAGAACCAGAGCAGACAAGACATCGGCCTTCGGGGGGAATAGGTATAAGAGAGGTGGTGCAGTGAGAATGGGCGAAATGGTCCAGGCCTTGGCACTGTGGCTGTGGCTGTAAAGCTTTCTAGTCTAACCGTCCTGGTGTAGAGGTCGAGGATTGGATGACGGCTAAGCTGGAATTCATGACGATCAATTGGTATGGCGAAAGGTGGATGGGGTAGCAGTAGCCAGTCGTAGCAAGTGTGACATCAGTCTTGATCGTCTGTTATTGTTGCAGGGCAGGTAGGTTTAGTCGGAGGGCGCAATGGAAGAGGGAAAAAACAGGATGGAGAAAGAAGAGTCGAAGTATCCTGAACGCAGTACGGAGTACAGGTTATTGTGTGGTAATGCGTGCTGAGGTATGGATGGCCTTGATCGGACGGGTCAAAGAAATGAGATCAAGATCAAACTTGGTGCTACAAGTGTCGCAGGTGCAGCCAAGCAAGATTGGATTGCAGATGCCGACGCCAGATGAGCCAGGGAGCAAGCACGCTGCACCACTACGGCTCGAAGTGGGAAGTGGCTCAACACTTGGCTCTTCACAAGGAAGAAGCAACCTGAGCTGCAGGCGCGACTGTTCGTATGACAAAGGTCAACGAGAGCAGAAAGATGGGAAAGAAGTGCCAGACTGCATTAATGTACCAGGTAGGCAGATATTTGTGCTCTCCTACCCACCCCCCACAGCCCAAGACGAAACGAAGGCGTCAATCCAATTTTTCCCTCGCTGTTATTATTTTTATTTTATTTTTCCTTAATCAGAAAAGGGAGGGAAGCAATCGGCTTGCGGGCGTGTCGGGGGGCGTGTCGGGGGGCGTAAGTACCTTAAGCTCTGGACGCTTGCCCTGGAACTCTGGAGACTGGAGTCTGAAGTGTGGAGTTGACAGTTGACCGCAAAGAGGTCCTTGTGGTCAGCCATCCAACCGCGGTGCATCCAGCAGCATCCACAGTCTGCAATGTCCACTCTTATCCTTGCCATGGAACTGGAGACGCCAAAGGTAACCGTCCCGTCAGCACTTTCGACTTTGGACTGGCACCATTGGAACCTGGCATGGAAACTCGGTGGAAAAGTGTGTCGAGTTCGACCGACGCAGACCCTTTCCTTGCGGTGCCTGGGCGATAGGTACTCCGTACCGAGCTAAGCTTTTCCTGGCACTGGGAAGTACCTGCGGCTCCACCGCGGATGGAACAGAAGAGATACATCTCAGATGTACCCTAGGTACTTCGTCGCCAGTGCACCTCTTACGAGAACGATGGAGTGGGCTGTGGAAGGAGGGAGCCTCGAGAATCGAGATTACAACGGGCAGCACCTCACCTCGCCGCACCTCACCTTACCACCTTGCGTGCTTACCGAATGTGTACGGAGGATCAGAACATCTCGGGAGCACCGCGGATGCGGCTGCAGTCACCTCACGTCAGTCATATCAAGGCTGATCACCTCACACTGGCCTGCACCACCTTACCTCTTGCATACCTTTTTCTAGACCATTGGATGGTTGATCGCACCAAATATCCCCTGCTACAGCAGATGGATGCAGCATCATGTCGAAAACTTGTCGGATTGATCGCCAATCATATGCGCACATCATTCATGTGCTACTATCTTTATGCGACATCCAGCATCGGCGTCCGCCCGCTCGAGTCTTGGTCCTTTAAACCCCCATGCGTTACTACACAAGGTACCTACTTGGGAGTTGGGACAGCTTGCAACACGCCTGCACCCTCGGCACGCGTCGGTCTGCTCCGATCTCGTCCACCGGTCTGTCTTAACGTGGCACCAAACACTTAGCCTGCCATTTTAATGGTTACGCAAGGTAAGATTGGTTGCGACTCGCGAGATCTGTTTCGTGGCGTACCATTCCAAGACACGCCAGAACAAAATCCCCTAAAATCCCTAGAATCCCCCAACCAAGCTGGCGGAGGAGTGCCAAGTAACTTTAATTTTAGGTGGGTCAGCAACATGTCGCCCGTCTGTCCAAGCAGACACTCGCACGCGTGCTGTTCACGCCCAAAGGAGCAACAAGAGCAACTGCATCGTGACAGGGGCACCACGTCCTACCCTCCCTTCCACGCCAGCCTCTGGTGTACACTACATGGCTCTAGTACGTCATTTTGTGCCAGCACATCTCATCTCTTACCCTCCTTCGCTGCATCTCATGGCTTTCTTCGACGCTGTCCATCCCTGATATTCCTGACTGACCATCTTTTCAGCTGCAGTCAGCGCAACTCCAGCATGTGAACACATGCATACTTACCCAGCACTGCCTAATGGGCCAGCCAAGACATCCCACTACCTACGTTTGATATATATGTACAGCAATGGCAGTACTACCATCGACCTAAGATACAGTCTAGGTATCCCACACAATTAGTGCCCCTCAACTGGTCTGTCTACGAATACTCGGTGCAGGCGTACGGAGTACACATGTACGTATACCAAAGTCAAATTCGTCCGTTACTCCCATTAGCACCGCGAATCCGGGGTTTTACCACCGGTACCTGACGAGCAAGCGTCTGGCATGTTTGCGACCGCCTCACAATCGGTAGGAAACTGGCTAAACTCCCGGACGCGCGCACCATCAATGTTCCCGTGGTCACAATACCACCGACGAATAATGTCTCTCTACCCCTATACATTGAAACGGCGTGGCACTTCGCCTCCAACAGGACATCCCGGCCGAGAAGACCATCAGTCCGACCAAGCTCCCGGCGAGTGGTACCTTGTCTTGTCAGGGAACATCCAACCCCCTACCAGAGACACTCATTCGCTGCCCATGGCTATGGTAATGTTATCAAGCAGGTGCCATTTGCAAGCCACGGCAGCCTATGAAACCCGTCGGCGTCCCCAGGAGCATATCCCTCATCCTGATGCCCATTGACTCTTTTTTAGGCGCAACATATCTCTTACAACGGGGGCCTTTCAGTCGTCAGCACTGCCCAACCGATGATCTATGGATGCCTGTCTGGGGAACCCGTACGTCCCGTTTGTTGGCTTTGCCACAGTAGAGGCAAAGTCGCCTGAGAAGAACAGTTGATCACCAGCTCAACCACACTGGCTTATCCTTTGCCGATAAGGAACTCGCGGAAGGGCAATGCGCCTCCAATACGGCATTTCTGACATTCTCACTGTCTATCACAACCCTAGCCCGCGGACTGCCGGTCGCTTCTTCCGTCCGTCGCATCGACGGAGTCCAGACCTAGCACACCATCCGCCGAGTAGAGAGCCGATAACCACTGCCATTTGCCAAGCACTCTCCGTGACACAGGTCATTTCTCACTCTCACCACCTCAACACGACGTCGTCGCCAGCATATTCCACCACCGCCTTCCTCTGCTTGTTCACCGCCATGCCGCCATTACTGCTGTACACCTCTTCCGGCGTAGCGAGTCCTGCATGCGATTTGTGAGATGGCAACGGTACGGGTACATGGGACGCTCATCTCCCAACCCGGACGCCAAGTATTCCTTCGGGCCTCCAGTACGAATACCCCAGCCGCGCGGAACAATGCCCAGATCTGCCAGATAGGCAACGCAAGATGATGGTAAATGCAGCAATCCGACTCAACCCGCTGTCTGCCAAGACCACACACATTTGCTTCTGATTCATTCGCCCATGCGGCCCACGTGAAGGACTTGGTAGGTTCTGACCGAAAGATCCTATCCGGCCGCATAGATGGGCCTAGAAGAAAAGCCAAACGATGTGTTGATGTTGTTGCGCCTCCTACCCCCGGTCTTCGACTACGAACAGGAGAAAGGGGGTGGCATACGGGCGACTCGAGTATTCGCTCTACCCGTAATCACTTTTTTGACCTTTTCTTGAATTCTCATTACAGCCGTAACTACGTAGATACGACTTTGATCGATTGACATCGTTAAGATACCCCGGGAATGACGCTCACCAAAAATAGCTATGCACCCATGGAATCCAAAAGTCCAATCTTGTTTTACGAGCCGTTTTTCGACAGTCGCAACCACGATTTTGCCGCGTTTGTTCTCTTTTTCTTCTTCTTGGTTCTTGTTTGCCTTTGCCAGAATCAACTCCTTCGTGAAACTGGAACAGGGGAAAAGGGGGAAGTGAAGTCCACGAAAAAAATTCCCTTTCTTGTTGGGGAGACCGGACGAGTCGAAAGTAGATTATAGCCTAATGGCATGGACGATTATCCCTCGTTGGATATTGTCTGCGTACTCCTAGAGATGATACTGACCATATTTGCATGGGCTTGGCACAACAGCTTGGGCCTTTGACTTGTCATCGAATAATATCGTATCATGTGCAGATTTATCTGATCTTTCCCACCGCATCCAGTCTTGCGCCTCCACGGCGTGTTTGTGTATGATCTATAATACAGTGAAGCGGCTTCAAATTCACCGTTTGCCTTTCCCTAAATTCCCCACCCACAGACGCCGTAAACCCGTTCGTGATTGCAATCTATCGCTTGGCCTTCTCTCTCTGGATCTTCTTGAAGAAGGCACTGCTCTCTCCCTTTGCCTTCTTGAGCTTGACCCTCTTGTTTTGCTCCATGTAGGCCATGTCCTGTCCACCCGACAGGTCGCCCAGCAGACCAGCCGTCCTCCTCGCGGCGGCCTTCTTCCTGCCCCTGGCCGGCGCGCGGCCCATCGTGCCGCTGTGGAACAGGTCGTCAATGACCTCGTCTTCGCCGCCGGCCTCGTTTTCGATGAGGACCTTTTGCAAGAGCTCTCGTCTCTCGCTCGCCGCGGCGTAGGCTAGGCCAGGTGTCTTCTCGATGTTGGCGAGCTGCGTGATGACCTTGAAGGCGTAGCCCTGGTCGACCAGGAACGCCTGTCTCTTGGAGGAGTAGTACATCTCCTGGGTATCCTTCGACACCAGGGAATAGAAGAAGGCATTGAAACCCTCGTCGTTTCTCCTCTTGGCTCGCAAGATACGGCCGAGTCGCTGCGCCTCTTGACGGCGAGAACCGTAATGTGACGAGATCTGAATGAGACAGGTAGCCTCGGGAAGATCGAGGGATGTGTCACCAATCTTTGACAAGAATAATGTGTTGACTTGAGGGTTATGTTGGAAGTTTTGCAGAATGTTCATGCGCTCTGCCTGTCCAGTGCCGCCGAAAATGTAAGCCTTCTCCAGCTTCTCAGCATACGTCTTCAAAGCGTAGACGTTGTCCGAAAAGACAATGATCTTGTCGCCTCGAGACTCGTGGTAGTTGATGAGGTACTGAGCGGCTTGGAACTTTCTCGGGTTCATGATGTACAGCAGCGCGCGTTTTCTGGCCGACGCCTTCAAGTACTCATCGTAGAATTCCGTAGTCATGGGGCACCAGACCTCAGCGCATTGAACCTTGGCAATGTGGCCTTGTTCGCTGAGTTCCATCCAGTTCGCCTCGTATAACTTGGGGCCAATCAAAAAGTTCAGATCTGAGATCTTGTCATCTTCACGAAGCAGTGTGGCGGTCAAGCCAAGCTTGGAATGTGTCTTGATGGACGAGGTGACCTTTCTGAAGATATTGGCGGGGACAACGTGGACCTCGTCCAGAAGCATCAGACCCCATTCTCGCGTCTGCAAAAAGTCCATCATCTTCTTGGCCTCGTGAGAACGCTCCCTGGTTTGCGTCACCATGGAGTATGTGGTCACAATGATACCGGTGTTACCCGGGAAGATTCTGCCCTTGTTGTCTGACGTGAATGCTTCGATATCCTCTGGCTTGATGTTGGACCACTTGAGGAATTCGTTTCGCCATTGCACGACAGACATGGAACTGGTGCAGAGGACGATGACGCCCTTCTTGACGGTGCAAGCTGCGGTGATACCGACAAGCGTTTTTCCAGCACCGCAAGGAAGGACGATCAGACCGCTCTTGGCTCGTCCATTACCAAACATCTTGCTCAGACTCTTTTCTTGGTAGGGTCGAATCAAGGTGCCCGGGCGCAAGTCGATCTCCAGGTTCGGGTTGGCCTCATCTCGTCGGAAATCGTACTCCTCCAACACCGGGTACTCCAGTTCAAGACACCTCTTCTGAACGGTCTCGACTGCCTCGTCCCCGATCTCAAAGGCATGCGTGATCTCCTGATCGTCATCGTCGTCATCGTTCAGTGCCGCGTAGACCTCGCCCTCCTTCACCTCACCCTCGCGTCCCTTGGCCTTTTGTTCTTCTGCCTGTCGCACACCAGCAGCATTGGCAGTGCCTGGAATGACCAGAGGGCCCTGTTTCGGAGCCGCTATTGTGGTAATCTCCTCCGTACCGTGTACTCGCAGCGGTCCGATGACGGAGTCTTTCAGCAGCTTCTGCAGGATGACCGGATCCGTACTCTCGACAAAGTATTTCGTATTCTTAAGCACCAGCTTGACTTTGCCGAAACTTTGCGTGCAGCCCTCGATGAACTTGCGAATGCTGTCGGGCAAAGGCATCTTCAGAAACCGATCGAGAGTGTTGATGATATCCTGGGGTGACAAGCCCACAGAGACCGCAGCGTACAAGCTGTGTGTCGTGAGCGCATATTCGTGAACGAAGGACGGCCGGGAAATTGGTTCGGCAATGGTGATGAGGAAGTCCTGTGCTTGCTCGGCCAGCGGGTTGAAGCTTTCGAGGAAAATACGGCCTTTGGCAGGGTCGATCCAGAGCGGGCGATTCTGATAATCGGGTTTCAGCTGGAGGAAGGAGAAGTCGCGCTTCTTCTTGAAAAGTCCAGTCATGGATTCATGGCCGTTCGTCTTGGGCCTGTCCAGGTACGCCTCGACGGAGAACTTGTCGACGTTCTTCTCGAGATTCTCGTCTTCCGACTCGCTCACGGGATCCGCTACCGATTCATTATCGCTGGCGATACTCCTGGGGGTGGCGCCCCCAGGTGTTGAAGCTACAGAGCCCTTTCCTGCCTTGAAGCTGCCGGTGGCGGCCCCTTGAGCCTTCCTCTTCGGTGGCATCGTGACAGGATTGCGGGTTGTTGGGGGGGAGATAGGAGATGGATGGTGGTGAAATCAAAAAACCTAGGAAATGGGTGGATGGATGATGTAGCCTGCAGGCACGCATCGGCGAAAGGTAAGCAACTCTAAGCGTCGGCGTTAAAGTGGTACCTAAGGTTTCGCAGGCAAAGGGTACGGCCTACAGGGGTGGCACCCTTTGTCACTGGCCGGCACCTTAAGTGGAGACCACTACAGAGCGACTTCGCGGGGTGCAAGGTGTAGGTAAGTAGGTACCGGGAGGGAAGACTTGGGCGATAAATCCAGACCCCGCCAAATTTATCAGCACCGCCAAATCTTTGATAGAAGATTCTCCCCATTGCCTCGACTTGCCAACTCATAACCGCGACACATTCGATTTGACCAGTCGACCGCGACGCACCTGTAACCACAACGCGATCTATTGCTTTATACCGCGAAGACAGCCCGCTATGTGGTGAGCCAAGCGAGAACCCACAACCCCTGACCGACAAGCTAACATCTCACCACAGCAAACACATTCTCAACGCGCAAGTCGCAATCAGGTCACCCTGCTGTGCGTCGAATCCCCCTCTGCCACTAACCCAAGCTACACCCGACTAATTTGATTGCCTTCCTAGGCAAAAAATGGTTCGACTGCGCTGAGTGTCACCATGAGCAGGAAAAGCACCCCCTGCTTCAGAGCCTTGAAATGGTCTTTGCTTGCAAGAAGTGCAAAAAGTGCTTCCGCAAAGACGCCCAGGAATTTGAAGATGCCGACGAATACTGCCCGCACTGCGACAACCACTTCGTCATTGAGGCAAAGACACCCAAGGCAGCCATCTCCGTTGAGGGCGAAGACGCGCGCAAGGACAGCCGCATGATCAAGGACGAGCGTGTCCGCCAAATCGCCGGACGCTCAATATTCGACCCAACAGACGATGCGGACAAGCTGGGCTAAACTGTGGGGGGGGTTTAGCTGGTTTACGAGCATCAGTGTGGCAGCAAGCGATTTTATGGACACCGTTTTTGTAGATTTTCCACGGTCTAAAGGTGGTAATACATTGGTATTTGGTCAGATACCCTCATGAGTGTCGTCTATCCGCGAACCGCAACGCCTAGTCATTTCCTTACTCATCACCGTCACCCGAGCCCGAGCCTCTTGTGAGGATCGCCGCGCTTCCGGTGCCGGGTGTGCGTCCAGTCTTCTTCTTGGCCGCCTCCTCTTGCTTCTCTTGCTCGATGCTCTTGACGTGGTTCTCAATCTCCTCCACGGGCAGCATCTCAATCGTCTTACCCGGTGCCATCAACGCGATTTCAATGTTCTTGGCTCCGGTCTGGACAACCTCGAGAAGAGACTTGATGGCGAGTCGGATGGTAGCCTCTCTGTCCATATCCTCCTTGTAGTTGCGCTCGAGGAACTCGCGAACGGTCTTGCTGGAACGGCCGATGGCGTTGGCTTTCCTGCAAGGTGTTAGCAGATGCACCGCATCGCATAGTATAGAGTAGTCGCTCGTACCATGCGGAGAAGATGCCAGAGGGCTCGGTCTGGTAAAGGCGGGGGACCTTGCTGCCGCTGTCGAAGCCGACAATCAAGGTGCTGATACCAAAGGGACGGACACCACCACTCTGTGTGTACCGTTGCTGGACACCAGCAACGTACTTGGTCATGTACTCGATGGAGGCGGGGTCTTCGACGGTCAGTCTGTGGGACTGTGCCTCTAACCGCGCCTTGTCGACGAGGATACGAGCATCGGCGTTCAATCCGGCGAATGCCAGGCAGACGTGGGTGTCGAGGAGCTGAATCTTGGAGGGGGTAATTCGGGTATCTTGCAGCTTCATGGCTGATCGCTTTTCGCATCCGAGGACGACGACATCTGTACCCTTGACGCCGACCGCACACGTTCCTATGCCGATGATTAGCTGGTTCCGCCCTTGATTGCGGCGGGCAAGCGGCATTACCTCTCTTGACAGCTTCGCCAGCGTACTCGACCTGGAAAACGTGTCCATCAGGACTGACGGTGTCAGTTGGGGATCATGAATTATTTCCGGGGCAGGGGCAACCGTGACGAACCTGAAGACTGTTTGCAGGTGCATGTTAGCTTGGTACAGTGGAGCTGGGGGGCAACAAGGAGGGGGCCCTTACCGGACAACGCTCTGTCGTATCCTGAAGCCATGGTGACTGACTGATTGAGGGACGGATTATCGGAGATATGTGTGGTGGTATGTGGATTGACGATTTGCTTGGATGTTGTGGGACAATCGCCGTGATTGAAGAGGTGCGGTCGGTTGAGGGTGGATGGAGTAGTGAGGTAAGGTAAGGTCAAGAGAGGCAGGCTGCAGGTCTGACGAAGCTTTGGCGCCTGCTGGCGTGGGAAAGGCTGAAAAGCTCCAGGAGCTCCTGCAGGGCCGGGGAAAGTCCGGGTAATGGTCACTCGAGCTTAGAGGTCTGTGCGCTTATCCGTATCACACCCGCCAGATGGAAGCTCAGGCAAGCAGCCACGTACAGGTTGTATGTCAACGAGCACCTTCTGAATTACAAGTCCCCGTGCGTAACATTTTACTCGTTCATGAACTACAAACCAGATGGGTTGCAATGTTCTTTTGACATCTCTAGATTTCGTTGAAGATTGGCTTCTACAACACACCTCTTAGTTTTCCATCACAATATTAACAATACATGGCAGGATATGGGGTGGCAGTCCACCAATACCCTCTACATCAGGTCGAACGTCAAATGTCCAGCGCTCTCGACTTTGATACTCTCAGAAATGCAATGCGCCTGCGCCAATTCATACCTTCCACCATGTTTTGATCGGACCCGTTACTCCCCTTTTCAATTGTCAGGCAGACGGAGCGAGTAGCCAGCTGGCTCAGAACCTGGCAATGTCGGTCCATGATCTGCTCTGCAGAACGTTGGCAATATCGTGACCTTTGGAGGTCAAACGCAGCCTGAAGTTATCGCACCACATAATCTCGAGCTCGCCGTCCCTTGACGACGCATTGATCTCGCGATAGAACTCCATGGCCACGGCTAGTGGTGCAACCAACATGTCCGGCTGAACTGTCGTCGACAGCGCAAAGTCGAGTGCCCTGCAGATTCTTGACGCAAACTCCCGCCTCTGTTGGTACCTCCCCAGGTTGATCTGCAGATTCGGAGGCAGATCCGGGTACATGTTGGGAAAGTCCTCGATGACAGGCTGGAAAATGGTGTGGTGCAGGCACTCGATGCAGCGGTGGAGGAGCAGCAGTGTCATCCAGTGGTACAGGAACATGACGGACGACACACCGTCCTTGAAGGCAAAGTTGTCTGCAAAGGGTAGCTGCTGCGCATCTGGATCATCCGGCTCTTCTATCCAGTACGCATACGGGTGCTCGGCAGTAGGCGCGCGGGCGAACGACTCCCACTCCTCCAGCCTCCGTTCGATTTCCAAGCAGCTCTCCAACAGTTCCTGTGCCTTTAATCGACGCTGCAAGGTTGCAGCAAAGGGTACCGTTCGGTCGACGCGAGAGAAGATGCCAGGCAACCCGGCGATGATGTCAAAGAGCCTGTCGAGAAACGTCTTAGGGTGCTGTTCCCACGGTGTAGTGCACCATTCGAACGAAGAAAGAAACGTCATCTTTCGGTGTAAGAGAGCGAGTATGATCTTGGCACCAAGTCAGCTTTTTAGTTCATCCGCAGGGCCAACGACGCGTATCTTACAGCATTACACCTATATACCCTGACGAAATAGTGGTGGGCTGGGAATTGACGAAATTGTTCCGGTCCAAGCTTCTTGACGACGTCCATATGCTCTTGGGGGACACTCCAGGGTGTCATGCCGTTGGTCACCAAAAAGGATGGATTTTGCTACAAGGATAGTCAGCACACGCTCTTCCGCGACGACCAACTGGCATCTGACCTCGAATAAAAATACGCAAAGACCTTCGGGGGCTCCGTTGTCATTCCCTGATGGCAGCAGACTGACCATGTTCTGCGCATTTAGGTCCATGTTGCCGCCGTTATCCCATGTCTCCATATCAACTGGTGAGTATGGCGGTAGGGCCATCCGGAACTTTACTTGGCTTTGCCCTTCGGGTCCCCTCATGATGTTCTGGAACCTGGTGTGCAATGCCGCGATCTGTATCGAGTATACGACACCGTTGTCGGACACGGAAACCAAGTCATCCCATGCCGGCATCAACGGTTCTGTCGGTACCAAGCGAGGAACCTCGTCCACGGTTTGGCTTCTCCTAGAACCTCTGGAAGAAGACGACTGGACTTGGCGGGGCGGGTGTGATGAGCAGCGGCCTGCGTCGTCTATGGTTGCGGTGATGAAGACCATTTCTCGTTCGTAGCCAGCACATTCGCGGCCGCTCTCGATACACTTGCGGCAGTGTGGCCGTTCGTTATCGCACTAACCGTTGACATGTCAGCCCGCGGGGGGCGTTTTTTTTTGCTGTCGAAACGCCTTTAGAGTGCTTACCTTGACTCTTCGAGCCCTGCATGTCTCGCATCCCTTGTACTTGCCGCGGACTCCAACCATGTTGACAACTCGGACGTTTTGGTGAGAGACAGGTTATTGCAAAGACAGAATGACCATAACCGATAATACTCTCTCGTCAAGACGAACAGGGAAGAAGACGTACTGGACGGTCGATATATATCACAATGAGGAGCCGCAAGGGGGAAGCAGGCATCAAACGGCCCCCAAGACTGAGAGGAGGGCGCGGATCAGTGAGCTTCTTACGTTGGCCGTCACCGGAGAGGCTGTGGGACCCAAGGTAGACCATACACTTGGCTTCAAACAAGCCCCCCTCGCGGGAGCCAGTTGATGGTGTGATGCAGCCTTACTACCGAAGGTGGACCGCGACAACGTATGAGACGGGACCAAGGGCGCGGGAATCACACATGGTCTGGTTCGCCCCGGGACGAATAAGACGACTGCGGCTGCGGTATGCAGTCAGGCGGCCCCGAGACGATCAACGAATGCGATGCCCGTTCTTGTCGTGGTCTCAGGCATGGTGCGGGTAGATTGCGCCGGGTGAGTTGCAGCCGAGATGCGATACCAGTAACATCTGGTAAATGAGTAGGTTGGGTGGAAGCAAAGGTGATGAGGCCATCTTTGCTCGTTTCCCCTTACACGAGGAGTGGAATCTAACCGATATCTAGGACATTTCTTTTTACAAAACCCAAACCTTGGAAGACAAGGCCACGAACGCAAATCAGTGGGCGAGACAGGCTGGAAGAGGAAAGTGAGCGTGATTTAGCACCGATTGTGTGCATTCGTATGTGTGAGATGCTCCGAGATGCCTCGGCCATTCAGAAGGGATCGTTGCACCCTGTCAATGCCACCCGCAGCAGGGAAGTAAGTACATACACGCAGAGACAGGCAGAATGACGGAGAGAGAGAGACTATCGATCGATGCTAATAAAAAGTGTAAACAAGATTGATGTCAACCGTCTCTGATCCCTCCGTCTCAGTCCAGTCCGATGAGACTACCTATGGGTAGATGAGAACATTGTCCCCCGCGCGCGGATGAGTGCACGTTCCAGGCAAGGCCCCGTAGGGCTGCATGCCGTAGCAGACCGAACAGACAGGGGTTCGGCTCGGAGGTGCGACTTGCTCGAAAGAGAGCCCCACCCTCGGCTGGCGGAGCAGTCTGCAGGACGGGATGCTCTGGACGGCGTGATTGGCTGACACCGAGGCTGACGTCGGTGCGGCCGTTCCCCAAGTGCCGCGTCAAAGTAAAGCAGCAAATGAGAGCGCAGCAAAGCGAACAGCAGCCTTCGGTAGGGGGTGAGATTGTCGGTGCCCAGGGGCCGCCAGCACCTGTCACCACTCACCGTCAGCCAAACGGCGCACGGAAAGCCCGGTCGGTCCAGGGGGCCGCCGAGAGACATACACCAGGTTGAAAGGTAGTCGACAGGGGTACATATTACACTACTGTCTGCGGATTACATTACGGATATACAGTTGGGAGTTTACCAAGCAATTGAGGACTCACGCGAACCACCACCCCCAGAGACCCCAGAGACCCCAGAGACCCCAGAGACCCAGAGACGGAACCCTCTGATGATCACCACCGCGACCACCGGACCGGGAGTCGGTGACGACGCCATACCATTGGAGGGTTGCAGTTCAACACCTACCTCTCCAGGATCGGTGGGCTGGGACGTACCTCAGCCAATCGATTCGTTTTCTTGGTGATTTCACGAACCTGGTACCGCATATCACCCCATTCGTTTCGTTTTCTTTTCTACCTTTTCTTGGTGGATTTTCCCAGCCTAATGGTTATTACTGGGCGCTGCACGTCTGGCAGTCTAGCAGTCTAAGAACCTGGAACCCACCCCATGATGGATGACTTGGAGCTGTGAGATCGAGTCACCGGTATCCAAGGCTGCGGGGGCTGACTTGGAAAAACCGGACCGGAGCTCGGAACCTGCAAGAATCCCAACCTATAAAGTGACGAAAACTGCTGGCGGGGGCCTTGCGGCTGAAAGGCCTAGGGTCTGTGAGGTTGGGCTGTTCTTACAACTGACAGGTCCTGATCTATACTTACACCACGTCTGCTTCCTGCTGCTGCTGCTGCTGCTGCTGCTGCTGGCTCCTCATCGCTCAAAAACATCCGATCTGAGATGGGAAGTGAGGTATTAGATCCTCTTGGCAAGATATTGAGAGGGATCGGAGTAGAGGGAGGCCTACCACGAGACACTGTACACACCGACCCCTTCCTCCCCCTCTCCGAGAGAATTGGCATTGGCTCACATCGGTTACCGTTGGTGTGAACTCCCGGTTTTCTTTTTTGGTATTATGAAGTACATTGATGTGATGATATCCTAACTAGTTTAAACAACCCTAAAAAGCATGATCCTGTCTCCTGTCTTCTCCGCACCGCCCGCCAGGTGAGACATACCAGGACGGATCTCAAGATATGTCCGGATTAGGAGGTATGTCTTTCCCTACTACACAACGAAATCTGGCTAGGGGGCGTTTTACAACTTGTCGTCACTTTTTTTTTTTTTACGACAAGACAGAAAAAGTTTTTTTTCTTTGGTTATTACAAAGCAAGAAAAACTCGGTTGCTCGTATGGATGAGACGGAGGGTGGAAGAGCAAAGACGAGGGGAAAACGAGGTGTGGTGGGTGTAGATGAGTGGGATGATGTGGGCAGTGTGATTGCCTAGGTCAGTCACACACACTCTCACACACCGAAAAAAAGGTGACCATAGCCTAAGTGTGCCTTTTCCAACCCACTCGCACGCAACAAACCCGATCTTACGCGGGGGAACGGCGGACTTAGGTCCGGCTATCCTAGGCTATGTTCAAGATTTCACTGCCGCTGTTGGCCCCCTCGCTGTCTCTTTCCCTCCGTCCAGAGATGGATGTGGATGGGGGGGGGGGGGATATCGTAAATCTTGGCGCTTCCTTTAGATGTACTTGTATGGGTTCATGATGCCGTTCTAATTGGTTCAATGTCAGCATTCCTTCCAGGCGCCAGGCAGACGGGAGAAACCCGGTGATATGGGGGATTATGATGTGTGTATAGTGTGTGATGGAGGAACCCGTTCCCCGGGGTGCCGGTCACGGTGTGGTGTGGGGGGAGGTTGCATGGGGGACGTAAGAGAGAAACGTGACGCAACGTTGTGGTCGGTGTGAGAAGAGAGAGAGAAACCAGACAGGGGTGGAAGTAAGAGTGAGATTTTTGATGACCAGATGGGAAGAGGAAAGCAAGCGGGGGAAGAGAGAGAAGAAGAATACGACGAAGAAGGCAGCCGTAAGGCAACAGGCAGGACAGAACGCAAAGGTAAAACTTACCGGGTCATAGAGGTTCTTAATCTGCTTCATGAGGCCGACCATGGTCTCGTTACGGCTGTAACCGATGAAGTTCTTCTTGGCCACGCCCAGGCCGTGCTCGGCGCTGATGCTGCCGTTGCGCGCCTGGATCCACTCGTACACGAACGGCTCGAGGACCTTTTCGATGCGCTTGTCGTACCGCCTCACGGCGACGTTGAGGTGCAGGTTCGAGTCGCCCATGTGGCCGTACCCGACGACCCCGATGGCCGGGAACTCGTCCGTGTCGCCCACGAGCCCGGCCTCCTCCATCTTGGCCTTTGTGTCCTCGACGAGCAGGTAGAGGTCTTTCAGGGGGATCGACACGTCGTACTTGTAGGTGCCGCCCCAGTGGCCCAGGCACTCTGGGATCCCCTCGCGCCAGCCCCAGAGCGCCTTGAGCTGCGTCTCGTCCTGCGCGAGCACGCCGTCCGAGACGATGTCGTTGGACATTACGTGCTCGAGGAAGCCCTCGAGCTTCTCGTAGTCGTGGTCGCCGTTGGAGCCGGACGTCTCGACGAGGCAGTAGAACGGGTGGGTGTCGCCCTCGAGGGGTCGCTTGTTCCCGCGCACGGCGTGGACGAGGTCCTGGCTGCGGCCGTCCATGAGCTCAAAGGCAGAGAGGATCTCGCCGAGCTGTCCCTTTGCGGCCTTGAAGGCCTGCTGGGCCTTTTCGTACGACTCGAGGCCGAAGAAGGCGACGTTGACGGCTTTCGAGCGCTGCGGGCAGATGATGGAGACCTTGGTGATGATGCCGATGGTGCCCTCGCCGCCGATGAAGAGCTGCTTGAGGTCGTAGCCCGTGTTGTTCTTGCGCAGGGTGCACAGGTCGTCGACGACGGTGCCGTCGGGCAGCACGGCCTCGAGGCCGAGGACGTTGCCGTGCAGGCTGCCGTAGCGGAGCAGGCGTAGCCCGCCGGCGTTGGTGGCGACGTTGCCGCCGACGTGGCAGGAGCCCTTGGCTCCCAAGTCGAGGGGGAAGATGTAGCCCTTCTCGGCGAGGTAGCTGTCCGCGGTCTCGAGGATGACGCCGGCGTCGACGACGAGGGTGCCGCTGACGTCGTCAAAGGAGCGGATCTTGTTCATGCGGCTCATGTTGATGACGATCTCGTCAAAGACGGGGACCGAACCGCCGACGAGACCCGTGTTGCCGCCCTGGGGCACGACGGCGAGCTTCTGCTCGTTGCAGTAGGCCAGGATCTTGCTCACCTCCTCCGTGGAGGCGGGCTTGACGACAAGGCGCGACTCGCCGCGGTACTTGCGCAGCCAGTCCTCGTTGAAGGCGGCCAGGTCGTCAGCGGCCTCGGTGGACACGCCGTCGACGACGCCAGAGGGGCCGAGGAGGTCCTTGAAGTAGGCGACGTGGGCGTCCGTCACCGCGGCGAAGCGGGTGTCCCGCTTGATGTCCGGGTAGGCGGCTGATGTGAGCTTGATTTCCTTCAGACCGCCGCCGTCCGTCAGTCTCGCGGCCGTCGTCGTGATGCAACGGGTGGTGGCGACGGCGGCGCCGGCCGGAGCCGTGGATTGCCGCAAAACGCGCCGCCCACCGGCGGGCAGGAGGGATTGCCTCCGTGCCGCTGTCCGGAGCAGCGGCTGGATTCTTGATCTGGAGGCCATTGTGTGACTGTGTGTGGGGAAGGGGAATTTGGACGCAAGGAAAGGAGAGGAGGACAAGAGACCAGCCGGGATGGGACGTGAGACTTTTGGTCTTTCTTGTTATTTTTTTTTTCGTCAGAAATTCCGGCGACCTGATGATTTCCAGGTTAGAAAAAATGCGAGCAGTGACAATTGGATGATAAAACCCCGATTTCGGCTTTCAAATCAACTTAAACCCCTGTGGAATTCCTCTACAAGGCAGTGGCTTTGGCGGAATTAGCAACCCAAGTGCGTGACAAGTGCTGCTGAGCCGCCTGTAGCTGCAGCACCTTCCCGTCTCTCCACGGGGAAGCAGGCCCGATAATGTCATTCGGCGAAATTGAAATTTTCACCGTCGGCAAAGTTTGTAGGTTTGACCGAGAGTGCTGCTCACCACTTTATCCTCGCAACTTGCTTACCTTATTTCCCTCGCTCGCGTTGCTTGCAATCGATTCTTGTTATGAGAGCGTCGGCACCAGACGAGTAGGAACTGAATATATCTGAAGATTTGCATGAGAATTACGTCTTTTTGACGACAAATTTTTGAGATCAAATGTCCTCTCATCTCATCTCACTGACGGCACGTGCTTAGTCATCAACGCGACTGACCCATTCCTTGGATACGTGGATACTTACTCCATGTCATCTCCATGACGCCGACATCATTGAAGATGTCTGTAAACAGATTGACATTGATTCCGACGGCTGATCGACACTACTGCTCATATACCACAAAACCTAGTCAATTGATCAAGATCGTGTTGTTGCAATACACAAACTGAGCTGCCATCTGGCAACGTCTCCATAGCAACTGTCGAGACACAGTAGCACCAAGGAACAAGGACAATCCTCGCAAGATGACGCTCGCCAGCATTTGCTCTTGCACGTCGAGTTCCGAGAGTACGGACTGTATGTCTCATCCTCACAGAATGACGGCGTATTGCGAAGCCATCTTTCTTCTCCTCAGCCTTTGTCTGGAATACTAGACAATCTGAAGGCCAAGTATCACAGAGAACACATCGTAGTTCCTTGGAAACCCGCGCAACGAATTGCTTTGCGCTACATGTCCTATGGCACATGCCCTCTGGTCTTAGCTCCCAGCAATTTACAAATTCCTCCCAAGCTTGGGACAAAACCTGGCCTCATCATTCTTCATCTCGAGCTGTTGTCTCGGCTAGGGCCGGGAAGGTGTCGCAATATGAGCCATGGCCGGGACGCACACACGCCAAAAGGGACCACTTGATCACATTTAGTAACTCTCCTGTCTTGCATCTGGTCTGCGAGGGGCTCAAGTCCACGAGGCATTGGGCAGGCAGGCAGGGCGGCTAAACTTCAGTCGAAATTCAGTCCCTTTTGGTACCAGGTAGCGTGGTGATGAAACTGAGAGACTTCAAGAGATCTGGGCTTGCACCGTCCTGGCTCATCTCCGTCCAATGTTCTTGACGCGATCCTCGTTAGAGTTACCGGGCTCTCATTCATGCACTCCTCTCAACGCCCATCCACTCACGAGTGGCCGTGAGCCTGTGACGGCCTTGGCTCGGGGTAGGTATGGTTTGACGGGTGATGTACACTATAGCGAGTGACACGCGCGGCGGGGGTTGGGCAAACTTGTCAGAGGAATTCAGTTTGCAACGGTCTTCCGTCCCTCCCATTCGGGAGTGGCTGAGGGGCAAGAACGTTCCAAAGAACCCAAAGAAGGGCAGACAGACGGACGACCAGAACAGGGCCATGGGGCCTCGGGCATGGTTAGTTGAGGATCCAGGCGAATAGCATAAGATATGACCACAGAGCCTCCCCTTTTCTCTTGCAAACTGACTTATCCGCGACGATGGAGGGAACAGGACATTGCTCGCATGCCCTATTTGGGTATTCACGGCCACAATGGCATCCTTGGGGATCCCTGCCGATCAGCTCCAAGCATGATTGCATGCATGAGTGGCTTCGACCGTGAGTGGGACGAGGGTTGGGTGTGCGGGGACCCCTCTGCGGCCGGGGGCGATGACTTTCGAGGCCAAATGGTCCCCACGGTAGTGCTTGGGGTGCTTGCGAGCCCTGGAGGACAGGACGAGACTCGACCGGCGACTCGTCGAAGGGTTCATTTAGTTAGCGGCGGGATCAACGAAAGGGGAGCGATCCTGATCGTGGGAAGTGGAGAGGGGACGGCGGGAGACAGGCTCTTGTTTCAGAGGCGATGGCGCGCCTAGGGGAGACCTCGCATCTCTCCTGAATGCCCTGGGGGTGTGTGAGTGTGAGTGTGAGTGGCCGCGCGACGTCTTTCGTCTGTACTTGTCTTGGGCCCTTTTTTGTTCAAACAAGGAACCTTGCTTGAGTTGAGGCGAGGGTTAAGAAAGAGGTGGTCTTTGTCTGATGGCGTATATATGTGTGTGTGTGCGCGTGTGTGGGTGGACGGGATGGTATTAAACAACGAAGGGCTCCCCCTATTTGGCCAAAGTAGGTATGCATTGATTGTCCCTTCTCTTTTTGAACTGTCTAGTTTGAAGCATCGTCAGTTGTTTTGTTTCTTCGATTACATGAGTCCATGAGTCCATGACCAGATCTGTTGTACCTGACTTGGACTCGCAAACCCAAAAGAGCAGCTCGATTTAAATTAACGACGATCTCGAATACCATTCTCGGCAGTTCAGTGGTTATCGATAAGCCAAAGTCGCTATCGAATCCCGGCGCCTGCAGCGGACGAGCGCTGCCAATCGACTTAGCGAGCCACTAGAATTGTCCGAAATGACGTCCACCGTCGACCGTCCTCAGGGGGCGCGCCCACTGTCGGGCGCCAATCTGCCCGGCAACGTAGGGTGCAACGAGGAATTCCCCGACTTTTGTTTACACCACGACCACCACTCGGCCGGCAGCCAGGCGTCCACATCTTCACCCGCATCCACGACCCCTACCACCCCGACCACCGCCGAGCGCCCGTTGTCGTCTGCCTTCTCGACAACGTCCGAAAACACATCGTCCCCCGCCTCCTCTACCGCCTCACGCGTCCGTACAGACAGCGGAGCCAGCACCAACACAAATTGCTCCCCCAGCCCGAGAAGCAGACGAGACAAGACCGAGCTACAGGCCGCCCGCCTCCAGAGATCGGGGAGCAGCAACCTCGCACTCGCACGCAAGAGCAGCGTAGCCAAGAAGAACCGATTCCGTTCCGCCACAGGCTCCTCGCCCGCATCCGCCCTCGCCGCCGTTGAGCCGCCGCATGATCAAGGCCTGACGAGGATGGCTTTTGCGGAACAGCAGAAATGGATCACGGTCCAGCAAAAGACCTTTACAAAATGGTACGACGGACCCCTTTAAGTCTTTGCGGGAGGGAGAGCGGGACATCGACAACCACTCACCCTCCCCCACCCCCAACCTGGTGGCAGTTTATCTGCTGGGTGCTACAACGATCATGAACTGACTTTTGCGTTTCTTTTTACTTTAGGATGAACACCAAATTGGAGGCTCGATCGCTCGAAGTAAAAGATCTCGTGGCTGATTTGAGTGACGGTGTAAGTTGGACCCCTATTTTTCCACTGGTTTGCGGGGTTCGCTTGGCTTACAGAATTCTTCGCCCAACAACAGGTCCTCCTCATCCACTTGCTAGAATGTCTATCCAACGATACCCTCGGACGCTATGCGTCCAAGCCGAAACTTCGCGTACAACGATTCGAAAATGCAAACACGGCGCTCGACTTCATCAAGGGCCGCGGCATCCAAATGACCAACATTGGTGCCGAGGATGTCGTCGACGGAAACAGAAAGATCATTCTCGGCCTGATATGGACGCTCATTCTGCGCTTCACCATTAGCGACATCAACGAAGAGGGCATGACGGCCAAGGAGGGACTGCTGCTGTGGTGTCAAAGAAAGACGGCCTGCTACGACGAAGTGGACGTCCGCGACTTCAGCGGCAGCTGGAACGACGGACTCGCCTTTTGCGCCCTGTTGGATATCCACAGACCAGATCTGATCGACTACGACGCACTAGACAAGTCGGACCGCCGCGGCAACATGCAGATGGCCTTCGACATTGCGCACAAGGAGATTGGCATTCCCAAGTTGTTGGATGTTGAGGATGTGTGCGACGTTGCAAAGCCTGATGAGAGGTCGCTGATGACGTACATCGCCTACTGGTTCCACGCCTTTTCTCAAATGGAAAAGGTGGAAAACGCAGGACGTCGTGTAGAAAAGTTTGTGAATAACATGGCCGGCGCCTGGGATATGCAAAGCGCGTACGAAAGGCGGATGAGGGAGCTTCTGAGGCAGATCAAGGAGCAGATTGAAAAGTGGCAGCAGGCCAAGTTTGAGGGCACATACGCCGACGCAAAGGCCCAGGCGAACGAGTTTGCGGCGTACAAGCGAGGGAAGAAGAGAGACTGGGTTGCTGAAAAGAGCGAGCTTGCCACTCTGCTAGGCAACATCAAGACGAAGCTGGGCACATACCGATTGCGGCCGTATGACCCTCCACCAGAGTTGTCCCTCGAGACGATGGAGAAGGACTGGGCCGGCTTGTCACAAACGGAGATGAAGAGGGCGCAGTTGATCAACGAGACCATCAGAGAGTGAGTGTCCCCTGTATGCGATCTTGCGTATTCTAGTACTAACCCTTTGGCAGCATCAAAAACGCATTACGCAAGTCGTTCGCCGACAAGGCCAACGACTTCGCCATGGCGTTGAACACCATGCAGCTGGCAATCTCAGGCCTGGACGGCGACGTCGAGGACCAGCTCCACCACGTCCGCAAGCTCAGCGACAACCTGCCGCCACTGGACAAGTACCTCGGTACCATCGCCGCCGTGGACGCCAAGTGCCAAGAGGCCAACATTGAGGAGAACGACTTCACAATCTACACCTACGACGAGCTCGTCTACGAGCACAGCCTCGTCAAGTCGTCGGTGCAGAAGAAGCTCGCCTTCCTCGACAACCAAATGGTCGCCCGCAACATGACCAACCTCACGCCCATCCAGCTCGAGGAGTTCGAGTCCGTC